TATTTAGATATTTAGACAATTCTCATAATTTTTGCAAAAGGCTGTATATCAACGAAATATTATGAAGTCTTATGCCTGCTCTGATTAATCTTGCTTCGAAAATGGTAATCTTTGACAGTCTTCCTTGAGTATTTTCACTGAACACGGAAGATTTAGGGACTTCCTTTTTAGTGATTGACACTGGGGAAGAAGATTTCGTTTCAAAGGTATGTCTTGTATTAAAACATCGCGATGGCCCTACTTACAGTACACATTATGAATAGCTTATGTCCTGATTACGATTCCAGATAACATTCCGATTGATCATCAGAAATACTGCTGGAGTTATTGTCAAGAATTCTTCTGATCGAATCTTCGAGACAATGACCGTCGCTCTAATTGACCATTTTTTTCTTTTTTTCACTGGCAATTTCTGTAGTGGTACGAGAAAACTGAGATTACTCTAACACCCTATAGTTGTATAGCAGRATTAACAACATGCACAAAAAAACGCTCACTCCTAAAAGAATGATGAAAAACCTATCCAAAACTTGTGTGGCGAACATCCAGTCATCCTGAAGTACTTTCTTTGCTTTGTGTTCGCGAAAGCGATCGGCAATGACTTTAGCCTCCTTGTTCAGTTTTCCAAGTTCTGTTTGAAGTGTTTCATCCTTTCGATTTGGTTGTAAATCTACATTGTCATTCATCGKTTTGGAATTGTCATTAACTTTTGTTTCTGCCATATCGTCATCTTCRTTTTTGAAGTTGCTATTTTCGTAGAAMGATCTCTTTATAATAAGGTCATCGTTTTTAGCCTCGCAAGGAGCGACGATTCCCTTCTCAGATCTCATCCAAAGCAAACGAGCCAGCCATTTGTTTACTATGATAGCAAWCAACCTGGGTATTGGTGTGTCATTGTCGTGAAATCTTATGATACAGCATGTAGCTGCGAGAGAAACAGCTTGCTGGACCATGATGAACACAAAGAAAACGGAAGCCAACGGAGTTTCAGAAGAATGAGGCATCTCTTCGGCTACTATCATCATGTAAACTGAATAAGCTACTAACACTGTCATGATGAAGGACACTCTTTCTCCTGAGCTGGGTGGCAAAATGAAGGAAAATATCGAAAGAGTAGTAATAAGTCCACATGGGACAATAAGGTTGAGCATGAAAAATGTCGGACGTCGCTTGATGAACATTGTAAAGAGCACACTCGGCCAAGGATCCGGGCAGCAGTGGAATTTCTTGCGCAGTTTTTCAACTTTACTATTGTAAAATGTCCACTCCTCGTTCTGTGAATAGCTTTCGTTGTCTACATAATGCAAATTCTGGTGAACGTCTAGCTTGGCACCGTTGTATACCCAGGACCCAAACTCAAGATGGCACCGCTGCTTGTCAAAAGGAAAAGAGGTAACATCCATTTTGCATTTTGACGATATGATAGCAGGAGAGGACCATTTGATATCACCAGTGTGAGTCGCATCCAAATTGTCAAGCATTTTTAGTTTGATTTCTCCAGGTTTCTGAAATACACTGTTATCAGACAGTGAAAAACATTAATATTGTTGATTGCTGAGCTGAATAGGACTCTAGCACCCACGCTTTCACTTCAAAACGACCACTTAAACTCTACAGAAATGTAGAGTGGCAACTGCCATTATTGAAAGCCACTTCCTTTTTCCAAGAAACAGTAAAGCTCACCTATTGAAGAGAGTAATATCTGGAACCCAGATCTTTTGATAATTGATAATAATTGACTTCAAGCCACCAAAATCTTCTGGCTTCCAGGTAACAAACTCGTCTTTCCAAAACTGAATAAATAAAATTAATCAATCAACTTATGCAGGTTAAAATGGCGAGGAATCTATTGCTGGATAGCTAGTTTGTCCAGTCTGCATTGTCAGAGGGAAGGTTGTCAGTTTGGAAATGTTTWGTAGTAGTGATTGTTTTATTTGTGTGTGTTTCTGTTCGACATTGACTTGTCAAGTACTTTTGTGTCGTAATAAAGTGCATTTGAACGCAGTTTTCCTGTTTAGTAAATTTTTTTATGTTTAAACAAACTTACTATTCTTATCCATACTAATAGAGTTAGCATCTCGTGGTGAAAATCCTTTAAAAAGATAAAGAAATAAAATAAAAACATGCACAATTTGAAATATGTAATGTGAGTTTTTAATCCCTTCCCTCGGCTCATGTCTTCAGCATATATCTACATTCGTGCTATATCTATACTAAGCCCAGGCTTAAAGAACACGGGAAGTAAAGCATCGAATCAATATATCAAGGTTCYCCACAGTTACTTATTGTCCAAAAGGTTGATTCTCCGATCGATCTGTGCTCAGCAGTGCACCCCTCGACAAACTGATTCAACGTTCATGGAAGTCTTGAATAAGAACGAAATAACAGCTGCATTTAAGTTAAAGTTTTGGGGAAAACTGGGGTGTGTTTGTTCAAAGCTCTATTACAATCTATGCTTTAACTCTATTCGGGCTTTGAAAAGGTAGGACCTAATATATAATAGTGCATTGCAATAAGCATTGCGAGCTGAATTCGTAAATATGCGATCTAGGCCCAGTGATGATAAAGATAAAAACAACATACCACATTGATTATCTGCTGTAAATTTATACCAACTTTAACATTAACAAGACTTGATAYGTTTGCCACTGGGCGTGTGCTGGTATCGTAGTCTTTTAGAATGTGCTGCATTAATCGACTCTCTATGTTACGCGCAGATTCAGCAAGAGATGCACCTGAAAGTCACAAATTGATGTGATTTAAACCGTGTTCCATGGTACAGAATTGCTATTTGTGACTGCATAATACTGCTGTATAAGAACCGAAATGCATTGCTGTTAGCTAAACGGCGATATGACAACCAATTCGGTCTTGGAACGCTATCGTCTAGTATTTAAACCATAGAATGCATAGGTTCACTAAGAGGGCCACGGCAAAAATAAGATGAGGTATGTCGCACATGTCTGTCTGATCACCTGAACACGKAGGTAGAGACTTTGGGGGAAGACATCATGAATTCACAATTAACATAACCYGAATACGGCGGCAGAAACCCAGAATGATAAATTAAACATGGATTCCAAAACCTATATATATAACGCGGAGGCAACTAAGGATGAAGCAATAATAAAAAAAACTAATTCTTTACATTATTTGAATGAATAAGRCTGTTTAAACTCGTGGATTCTTGAATATGCTGGCGGTAGAGAACTATGGTGAAGAACTCTGATTCCAAGCACTAACGTTAAYACCTTATCTGAGATATACCTTGGCACGAACATTTAATTAATTCATCCGTACAGTGCTGACATGGTTGCACACTTTCAAACTTTTGAAATGGGAGTATAAACAGATACCACACAGATATGTTAGCCCAATATTCAGTATGAAAAATTGCATAGCCGGTAAAGAGCAGGTATTCAAACTGATCCTGTGCCAACTCACACTTATTGATTTGTAATCATAAAACATTTATTTGAATGCTGACGTCTGATGTTTTTTWRG